ACACACACACAATACGAATGTATCTGGATGTGAATATAACGACCAATATGGTTAGGATTAAGTAATCAGAAATATAATCTTCTGTTGTTTGTATTTCACTCGATAACTAAACTCCATGGATGTTCAGGTATAATACCGTACTGAATGTCCAATAAATGTTTCTTGAGCATTTGATAAACGGCTTCAGGCTGTTCTGCTGTTGGTATATGTAATCCTTGACCTTGGAAATCAATATAAGATACGGGACTAACAACACAAGCTGTTCCTGCTCCGAATATTTCCAACAGCTGTAATAAAAAAATTAATGATAATAATAGATAATGCGATAAGGGTGAGAGAAAGAGGGGAAAAAAGTTGTATATGTAAATCTTACTCTGTTTTCTGAAAGTAATTGTATAATTTCTTTCATCGTAATAGATCTCTCCGTCACTTTAAATTGATTCCATTGTCTAGATATAGATAGAAGTGAGTTTCTTACAATTCCAGGTAAGATTAAGCCATTTAGAGGTGGTGTAAGTAATTCTCTTTCTGCAAAAAATAACATAGGAATTGTAATTAGGTCACTAAACTTGACCATTAAATCAAGTCATATTTTATACCATAAAATTCACCAGGATTTACCTCCATTATCATTTATGTAAACAACGAAGACGTTCATAGTACCAATTTCTGTGAGTTCATTGTTTTCGCCGTATAACCATAGTACTTGCTGTAAACCTTTTTCGATCGCCTCCTGTTGAACTTGAATTGTGGGTCCGTAATTACTGCCTACTTTAGAATCACCACAACCGCCAGGCCATGCTCTCGTATACTTAGGATCTGCAAGCAGGGAAACCCCGACTTGCTTGTCTGCAGATTTAAAGTAAGATCCGACAGGAGATAGAATTATATACAATAAAGCTGAATCCGATGCTGCAACTCCAAGCGTAGGCTACACAGAAAAGTAAAATGCATTTTAAGTCAGATTTTAAAAAATACAAACTATTAACATTAAAAAATAAATTAACACGATGTGTCACACACTTTCACCAATAAAGAAGTCATGAAAACCGCTACCAATTTTTCTTAAAACTTTACAGAATGACTTGAAATTTTTACAGTCGACGTCTCATTAATAAAGGAATAAAATGGTTTTCTGCATTATCCTGATTTTGAAAAAAAAACTGATTTTGCGTGGTAAATAAACCTGTAACTTTTGCAAAATCAGAAAAATGCAGAGATTCACCTTGTTTCTGTATTAATAAGATGTTGACTGTAAAAATTTCAAATCCATCTGTAAAATTGTTTGCGAGAAAAATGGAAGCGATTTTTATGATTTTTTTAATCGGCGGAAGCGTGTGACACGTCGCCTTGAGATGATTTTTACATATATATATACATTAAATATATATATATTAAATATATATTAAATATATATATATATATTAAATACCAATTAATGTATATATACATATATACATTAATTGGTAATAGTTTTAATTTATGTTTATCTTTACGTTCTTCTCTTATTTATTTCGTAAGATAAAAACTCATTTTTAATCTACATGAATATGCATTCAAACCAAGTTTGTTAAATACCATTTAATATATTCTAGTAAGAGATGATATGATGAATAGTGCAAAAAATGGCAATAGATATCAAATCGATGTCAAATCGATATCTATTCGATGTCGACATCAATTTGACATGTGTTCAATAATTTCTCATTAGATGGCTATTATGTAAAGCCAACGGCACACGATACTATTTTTCCAACTGAATTGTTTACGAGAACCAATAGGATACAGTTTTCGATCAGGTGACTCAAAGCTGAATTTTGATTGGTTCTCGTAAGTAATCCAGTAGGAAAAATAGTATTATTACGTCTAATAGCAAGAGGTAGAGCGATGTTTGACATATGACTCCGCGCCGGAAACAATTGTCAGGCAACAAGCGGCAATTGATGCTCGCCGCTTACTGCCTGACAATATTTTCTAGCATCGTGTCATATGTTACCAATTGCTCTACTTCTCGCCATTAGATGATGCTCACCGTTGTTAGGAAATAAAACAAATAAACCATTTTGCATTCCTATTTTACTGAGTCTAGCCTACCGCTTACGTGCTCATTCGTTCAGATGAGTTAATTAATTACTCGAATACCTTAATTGCACACATACAAAACACACACAAACACACCATATTACGTTATATTAGAATACAAATTTAAAAATTAATTGCATCAGTTATTATTACATTATACGGTAATTTATTTCACTGATCGCTATACAATTTTCATCATAATCAATGTCAGAAATAGCCATATCACCACTTTAAAAAGATTACGAAAGTAGGAAGAATTTGCTTGAGTGTGTTGTTATCGCAAAGTCTAATAAATACTCTTGGCAACACTTATCTTGCAGGCAGGAAGTCAAAACATTAAAGTTGAATAAAAAAGATTTCACGTGTCATAATTAACGCGGATTGTTGAAAATATTTAAAGAACGCAAGTAATATGTTATTTAAAAGTTATACAAGTGAATGGTAAAAGAATTGAAGAATATAAAATAGACTCTTTATAATCATGCATGCATGATATGATAAGAATTGATATGATAATTTATGATATTCATGAAAGTGACGTTCGACTTTTGCCATATCAAATTTGTCAGAAAAAAGAGAAAAAGAAAAAAAAAATTTTAACGATAAGCCAAGACTACATCCAAATAACATGATTGCAGGGGCATGCATCATCTCGCATATGACCGCGCGCCAACAAAAGACTGCGAGTTGATTTATCAAGTATTATCATTAAGTATTGAGAAATATAACGATTATTTTTGCGCACGCGTATGCAGTCTTGATGACGTCCGTGATAAGTAACGTATGAATGTTATTTCTCACTGACGATGTTTGTAACGTGATGCACAAACTGCTACAATTACATCATTTATTGTATTGTTGGAATGTAAATTTTACCGATATAAATACTAACAGAGCGCTACTCGATAAAATGTTGACATATAATTTTTAGCGATAAAACGATACTTACATCGATGCCTATAAGCGTGGGACGAATATAAAGACTAGAGGCGGTAGAATGTGGAACCCATTCTTGATCTATACTAATCAATCTGCAAAGGCACTTAATTAATTCTTCCCCTCTAAAAGGAGGTAGACCAGCTCTTACTGCTGAATTATTCATTCTCTCCATATTTAGCTCTGGCCTAAACAACCTTATTTTGCCATCAACACCTCTATAAGCTTTCATACCTTCAAACAACTGAGGAAATATTTATACATGTATTACTATTGTCAGATTAAAGTGCTGCAAGAATCTTCACCTCCGTAATAATTAATATACGTACTAACAATCTTTGTATATCCTACAGTTTTAAACATGTTATATGTACATTTTGAATTTAATATCACGGATGATAGTAAAATATCCTTCAAGATCTTGATTTGCTTATCGCTTGAATATTTTTGACAGAGGATATTTCAAGAATTTCTTTATGGAAATTTAATCTGATAAAAGAAGATTTATCAACTTCGTTCAGATACACATTTTAGCAAATAATTGTATTCTAATCATGCTGAATTAACAGAGACAAGATTATCATTGTCATTATGAATACTACTCTCAATCAGAATCATACACACATAATTAGAAATAGTAACAAAGCAGAAATAGAGTATAATTGATTTTTAATTAAATAAGCAATATTTTATAAAGTTTCTTCGAGATAATAATGTAATACAAAAATAAGAGATAAATCAATTTTTTAAATCCCATTTCACGTGATTTTCGAAATATAAAGTATTATGTATATTATTCTACCTCTACAGCGTAATGGAGTACTTTTGCAGCTGGATGAAGAACTATGTTTTCGAAGGGCATAATTTCTGGTGCCTGCCAACCATTCATGCCTTCGTAATAATGTATTTTGAGCATGTGATCAGTAAAATACTTCCCAAATGCAAGCTTATTAACGTCAGGCTTAGGATTTAACTGATCTGGACCAGCGAGGCGAACAGACAAATCTGCATACTGCAAATAAGTTATACTTTTACTTTTACCCATATCAGATTTACTCAATCGTTGCTATCGACAAATAGATACCTTAAAGAAACGTTGCGGTTGTACAGAATTCTTGTCTTTGGTTTTCAAAGAAGAACTCCACCTAACGTTCTGCTGCAGCTGATTAATCAGATTTCCAAAGGATAAAATCTAAAATAAAATAACATGTACACATATTTTTTGGTCTATAAAAAAAAATTGTATATCTTCGTAACTTGTCTTGAGATTTTTTTAATTCTTGATGACCTTTTATTTAAGACGTGCTACATCTACATTAATAATTTTGTTATATAAAAAGTAAAACCAGAACTATAAAAAATGTAATATTATGTACATACTTTGAACAGATATGCATTTTGAGGAAAAAAGTAGAAAAAGACCAATTTATTATGAAATTAGATTATCAAGTTAGAAAAATATGTATTGATAAGAGAGAAACGCATGATTGCAATTCTGTATGTTCATCGACACAAATATCAGGCTAGGCTCAACATATTTGTTTGATCATTTGATGACTTGACTAATGTTACATGTAAAACGTGAATATTTTTCATTTTTTTGAAAAAGTATAAAATAAGTTAAAAAATTCTTTTATATAAACTAAACTTTGCAGTGGTGAGTCTTATATATGCAAGTTTGCATGCATGATGGACTAGAATTAAAAATTTTACAAATAGATCTATGCTTTTCAAGAAGGACCAAACTTCTTTGAAACAATAATTAATGACATTCCTTTTTTGAAGAAGAATTTGAAAAAGATCGTATGTGTAGTATGCATAGATTGTAAGTTATACATACCATGTTTCGTTAAAATGTTTATTTCTTGAGAAAGACTTACAGAAATTAGCATTAATAAATTTACAAATTTTAAGATAACGATAGTACTTATAAGCTTTAAGACAAAAAATGCGCTACAAGTAATAATAATAAAGAAACAATAAAGCAACAATAAAATACTTTATATGTAGAGCGGAGCGTTATGACGCTAATAAGAGAGAAAAGTCCCCTGAGATAGGCTCCTAATAAGAGATAGCGGGGTTTCTACTACATTAAGGCATCATCTGTTGGTTCCATGAATGTTCCAAGAACAATAAATTCATGGTGAAACCAACAATAAAATCTGTTCAATAAAGAATTCATTGCCCAAATAGCACCGTACACGCACCGGCATAAATGCTGTCCCTATCCTTGTGAGGTGCACGCACACAACTACAGGGACTCTAGTTGTGTGCGTGCACCTCACAAGGATAGGGTCAGCATTTATGCCGGTGCGTGTACATCTAATGGATGTCCGTTTTACGTTCATTTTACTACCATACGTCCATGGACGTAATAAGATCATCCATTGTACATCCATACAAATGGATGTTCGAGGTTGTGTCAAACGTATGTGTTATGGATGTCCATCAGACGTCCGACGAATCTTATTTGGACCAAAAATAGATGTCCGACGTCCAGAAAGTAGATGTTCAATGGACATCCACTGAATGTCCATGTACTATCAGGGTATTAGATCGTGTAATAGTTGCGAAAAGAGATTTGTTATTGAATTTGGATGTTGAAAACCTGTTATTTCATATTAGAAACCTATCTCATATTAAAGGACTTTCCTCTATTAATTAGATGTGTAAGATTCTTGTATTAGCTATTTCTGGTTAAAACTTTCTAACAACAACTTTTTAAAAATATGTCTTTCTTAAATAGCAGAAAAATCTTATTAGAAGAACCAGTCTTGCTTGTTGATATCGTGTCTTGTTATCATCATCCTAACGAAAAGTTATTTCGACAGAAATGTCACTAACATTTCGAGGATATTAGTAACATTCTGCAATATATACTGCAATACCTACAATGTTGCAATATTGCTGAAACGTTCTGCACCATATAGGAAGTGTTCGGCGAAAAAGCGTTTTGATCTATCGCGCTACTGACGTATTCGGTGTTATGTAATAAAAGTGAAGGAAGCATATTAATATATGCAAAATGATCATAAAAGCAATAAATGTTTTTTGCACGATATTACTCGATAAATTGGCATTAGAGATATGTATATATTAGATACACATATTCGTTATGTAAATAGAGAAAGTGTAAAATTATAGATCAATGGGCATTTAAAATCGACACATTGCGTTCAATGTCACTCATCGGAAATCATGTGCGAACGAACAAACATGACTTGATTAAATTGAAATCGAATAATCCGCTGACGTTGGCACAAATATTATTCTATTCATTTTATTTGTAAATGAAAGGAATGTTTTACACTTTATCGTTTTCTATTTTCTTCCTCAAAATTTAAGTTTATACACATATATATAGCTCTGTATTTGATTTTATACATATGAATTATAGTTATATAAATATATAATTCGGCAATATGATATGTAGTAGTACACGTATAAACGTTATATTTATTTATAAGTACAAATAATGTAAGGCATGTAGTTAAATAGAAATTCACATAGAGATATACTTGGGTAGAATTGGAAATTATAAAGTAACTTGTGTTTGAAGAGAAGCACGTGTAACTTCGCGTAAAAATGCAATCTTACATCATCATGTTGATATTTTCTGAACATTGATAAATTATAAATTTAATTTTATGTAATATCTACTGTATTACCTAACCGAATTAACGAGTGGCTTATAAATGTTTATTCTTGATACTTTTTTTGAAAAAATCTCTATATTTTTGTAATTATAATATATCATAAATTTAACGCAATAATTGAAAATTCTGTTCCAGAAAATATTGAAAAAATATTAAAAAGAAAAGACATTATTGTACATGATACTACCATGATCAAAAAGTTCCCGGAATTGCCACCATGTGGCGCCCCTGGTCATCCGATTCAAAAACCATTTTATGTGAGTGTTGCCACAAATGTTACTGTCATTCCTGCCAAATTTCATCATCATAGCTTGACATTTGTGAAAGTAGCATCATTTTGAGTACACCAACTTTTTCGCGCTCGTCGATTTTTCACTTTTTTAAAAACGAATTTGCATTAAATTTTGCGCCAAGAACGGATTCAACGGTGTAAAAACACTGGAAATGTTGAAGAACTGTTACGGCAATGATTCTATGGAGAAAACTAGTGTGTACGAGTGGCATACCGAAACCGAAAAAAATACGCCGTTTCCAGTCAAAAAAGAAGGCAATGCTCACGGTTTTCATCGATTACAATGGTGTTGTGCATCACGAATTCTTGCCGGAGGGTGAGACTGTCAACAAGGAGTACTATTTGGGCGTTATGAGGCGTTTGCGTGACGCAATTCGACGGAAACGGCCGGAAATGTGGAGGAACAACTCCTGGATTTTGCATCATGATAACGCGCCGTCCCACAATGCATGGGTTATTCGTAACTTTTTGGCCAAACACAGTACTAACACCATCCAGCAGCCGCCTAATTCACCTGATTTGGCACCGTGTGACTTCTTCCTGTTCAATAAAGTCAAAAATCCGCTCCGAGGAACGCGTTTTAGCAGCAGAGAGGAGATAATCCAAAAATCGACGAAGGCCCTTTTCGACATACCAAAAGCCGAGTATAAAAAGGGGTTCGACGATTGGATCAAGCGTTGGCATATGTGCGTTGCAATTGGGGGGGGGGGGGGAGTACTTTGAGGGGGACAATATCGATTTGCAAGAATAATTTTGTATTTTCAATTTTATGAATAAATTCCGGGAACTTTTTGATCATGGTAGTATATGCATATTTATAATTTTTCTTACAATTAGATGAAATATAGAATTTATTTCTATAATAAATTAGTATGGCCCATATGTGTTAAACACAAATTTCAAGAAATAAAGGACTCATTGTCAGAGCCGTAACAGGGTGGCAGTGTCTAAATATTTTGTTCTAAGTTTATTGCGAAAAAATATCACCCCGGCCGAGGTGATATTTTTTCGCAATAAACTTAGAACAAAATATTTAGACATTGCCACCCTGTCACGGCTCCGAGTCCTTTATTTCTTGTGTTTAACACATATGAGCCACACTAATTTATTAATTTACGCGGACGTAAGAAAGCGTTTCTTACTTTCATTTAATTAATTGGTCGGGTGGAAACGTAATAATGGGGACACATTGGATGATTGTACTGTGTTTTAAGACTGACAAATCAAGTCGGCGCCAGTTCTCAGTTTCGAATACTGTCACGATAGGTGGCACTCAGGAATCAACATTAGGCTGTTTATTGCGATGAGTATTGCCATGTGCTTCGGTCGAATTGGTTGAGACGCCCGCCTAGCGAGAGGAAGGTCCAGGTTCATACCCTGGCCGAGGTGATATTTTTTCGCAATAAACTTAGAACAAAATATTTAGACACTGCCACCCTGTCACGGCTCTGAATCCTTTATTTCTTGAAATTATTTCTATAAAATATTTTGCAGATGTTTTCAATAAATACGTGACGTTTTAACGACGTTATAAAATTGTTTATCTGCTTCATATAATATTCTTATAATTTTAAGATGTTTTTAAGGAGTCTTATTGTTAGTATTCATATTAGATTATTTACATGAAATAACTAAATTATACAATTATTGTGACCAAAATATTTAAGGATATGTTAGGATTTTTCCAATGCGTACAAAATTTACCAACTTCATAATTTAAATTTTGATGTGTGAAATATTCTATTTTACATATAATTTTTTTATTTTAATTGTTATCTTATCTAATAATCTTTTATTTTCTTATTTTTTATCTAAAATTTATAAAACAAATTTGAAATGCTGTTTCAATTATATGTTACGATTTGGATTTTATGGTGAATGTTATATCGTCTCCGCAGTTAATATACATATATAATACAAAGTTTAGTCAAAATTTGTCATATAATATTACCATTTACTTTTTAACATTCTTTCTTATCTTTTCAATATTTAAATACCATTTATACACATACATGCAAGTTACGTCAGATGCGCAATTTCTTTAACCGGTGACGCAGTTTGCTGTTACGTTTGACATTTTAAGTGCGGTCTTTTATTGTTTTTTTTCTGTCGCAAACAAAATTTGCATTCCTGTACCTTTTACATTGTAAAATCTAACGAGCTTTAAGAAATAAATAAATTACTATTATATATCTGAATAAAAATCATTGTGTTAGTTTTTATTTCAAAATCTACATTATTTTAAATTTCTTCTCACAGAAAATACATTTGAAGTATTTCTTTTAAACATGCGCATTTAAAATATAACAACGGAACGTAAATCCTTGCAATTATCTTTTATTATCGCGTTCACATATTGTGTAAACGATTGTATAACGCGTTTCTACTGGAACTAAATTTCTCAGTCGGTTTCTAGCAAAAACAAACTCGAGATTGGGAGAAGAGAGACCGACGGATCTAATTGTAAGAGGTGTAAAGCCAGCAAGAAATGACTTGTCGATCGACGTTGAAACGATGTCGCATCGACATCGCAATCGTCATATTGACTCGTCAGTCATTTCTGACTGGGAAGTTACTTTCCGTTCTTGAAAGTCTTTGAGGTTTCTCGGATGAGTTTTGCGCGATCGCTTATTCCATTTTAAATAAAACGTGATTCTTCGTGATAATTCGATCTAATCGCACCGATTCAAGTCAAATTTGAATTTAAAATTCCGTTTCCAGTTCTATTTCCGATCTTCGAGAGATCTCGAATTTTTTCATAATTGGATGTAAAATTGCCGGATGGACTTTTAATTTTCCGAGTAGCCACTTAGTTTCACAATCCCAGTCAGAAATGACTCGTCGATCGACATCGAAACGACGTCATATCGACATCGAAACCGTCATATTGACGTCGATTCGACATCATTTTGACATCGATCTACGAGTCATTTCTGACTGGGATAGCAGTCTCAATCATAGGACGATCGGAGGGATAAGTTGCTTACCTTGCACCGCAGATGAACCATGCTGAGCCAAATATCAACCCGACGTAGAGAACAAAAGAAAGTAAATCAATAGACAATACTCGATCGTTGCTGTTTGTTCGCACTGCTTCGAGTATCCGCACAGCTCATTCTACGTGAACGCTCGCTCTGCTCTCGGTGCGTTTCTTCTCTTCCTGGTGAGTCAAGTTAGGGTTCAAGCAACAGAGCAAACTGGCGGCAAATAATAATATCGTCCACGTTAAGTCGCTGCTTTCGACGTGTCCCGAGGGATGATAACAAATATGGGAAAGAACGGTCGAGAACTGGAAAAGCGATACCTGTTCTCGGGTGTCTGAAACGGCCACTAATTCGAACGAATCTAACACAAGCTCCACGGAAGCCGGACAGTTGTTGAGTATCCCCGAGTGAGAAAAATGAGTGCGTTTACTCAGGTGGAACGTTCGTTCGTTCGTTCGTTCGTTCGTTCGTTCGTTCGTTCGTTCGTTCGTTCGTTCGATCGTTCGTTCGATCGTTCGTTCGTTCGTTCGTTTGCTCACTCGTTCGCTCACTGATTACTGATTCGGTTGCGCGATCACGAATACAGTATGCCCGGCATAGGTTAAACGTCGGTTAATATTTTATTTATCAGTGAGGCGTAAGGGAGGGAGAGAGAGAGAGAGAGAGAGAGAGAGAGAGAGAGAGAGAGAGAGAGAGAGAGAGAGAGAGAGAGAGAGAGAGAGAGAGGAGAGAGAGAGAGAGAGGAGAGAGAGGAGAGAGAGAGAGAGAGAGGAGAGAGAGAGAGAGAGAGAGAGAGAGA